TAAACCCTAAACCCTAAACCCTAAACCCTAAACCCTAAACCCTAAACCCTAAACCCTAAACCCTAAACCCTAAACCCTAAACCCTAAACCCTAAACCCTAAACCCTAAACCCTAAACCCTAAACCCTAGACCCTAAACCCTAAACCCTAAACCCTAAACCCTAAACCCTAAACCCTAAACCCTTGCGCAGGTGTGCGCACACAGACATTCATGATACACACGCACTCCAAGTCCACCCGTGCATGCGCACGTGCATGCGCACGTGCATGCGCAGGTGTGCGCACACAGACATTCATCCTATACACACACTCCAAGTCCACTGTGCATGCGCAGATGTGCGCACACAGACATTCATCCTATACACGCACTCCAAGTCCACCCGTGCATGCGCAGGTGTGCGCACACAGACATTCGCAGGTATGCGCACATAGACATTCATGATACACACGCACTCCAAGTCCACCCATGCATGCGCACGTGCATGAGCAGGTGTGCGCACACAGACATTCATCCTATACACGCACTCCAAGTCCACCCGTGCATGCGCAGGTGTGCGCATACAGACATTAATGATATACACACGCTCTAAGTCCACTCGTGCATGAACACGTGCATGCGCAGGTATGCGCACAGAGACATTCACCATATACCCGCACTCCAAATCCACCCGTGCATGCGCACGTGACACCTCCGCATACAAAGATTCTTCATATACACGGACTCCAAGTCCACCCGTGCATGCACACGTGACACCTGCGCATACAAAGATTCATTATATACACGAACTCCAAGTCCACCCGTGCATGCGCACGTGCATGCGCAAGTGTGCGCACACCTGTGGCAAATCATTTGATGAAGATTGATTTGATATATATGTCGAGTGATCATCCATTAAGTAGGCGCGGGCCACGCCTATAAAGACGCGGATTTCGACGATGATATGTCACGTTCGCCTTTCTTTCGGCCGTCTTTTTCCGGCATTTTTCCAGGCTTTTCCTCGCTCCCTCGACCGGCTCAGGTGGTGAAATGAAAGGTGATGCGGACAAAAGCAGTGTCGCCCGCTTCCACGAGGGAATGCAGCAGAAAGGAGGAAGAACGCTGGCTATCCTACGGACTTCCTGGGTTCATGTTATTGCTCGATCTGGTGGGAGTGTGGCATGTTTTCACACGAGAGACGGTGAGGAATTCTCTCCCCAGACGTATGATTGTGTGCGAATGGGTTGACAAGTCTTTTTCTGTGCTGTGGCGAGTGCGAGACATATGAGGCAGGTACTTTATGAAAGACCGAAGCGATAGTGCGGTTTGGTTTGAATTCAGTGCTTTGTGGTATGGCGTCTCTTTCGCAAATCGATGAATGGCCATGGAAGGTGCGACGACTGAAGTGAAGACACGGACTGAGACAGATGGAAATCAGATGCTCTGACGCCGCCAGGCGGCATTGCCGCCCCCATTAAAGGAGGTGTTGGATGTCATCTATGTAAAAGCATCACCAAAGAGAAGACAGGCGGGGAAAGCGAGAAAGCAAAGGAACCCTTCTCAAACACCGTACATTCGCACGCATTCGGTCGATGCCGACCGCCAACCGAACCACCACCCCAGCTGGACGGGAATATGTCGGTCATGCCAGCCCATGGTGCACCGACATGCTGACACACACAACAGACAGACAGATCCTAACCAGCTACACACGTACCACTAGAGCGTTTATTTTTCGGTCAGTTGCCGGCTGATCCCCCGTAGATTATTCGCCTGCCGGTCTGCCCATCCCGTCTGTCCGTCCGTCTGTCTGTCCGTCTGTCTATCTGAGGCAATAGGTAGGTTGATTGCTTTCGTTAGTATGAGGTCTTTGCCACCATAAGCAGTCCGTCACCCACACGGCAGCGAATGCCTATAGTCGATCACTTGAGCAATGGCCCTAAATGGCCCAAAATTACAGCGAGCAATCCCTTAAATGGAGTTAACGTGAGATAAGCAAAACACTCTCAAACTAACTCCGCAGCGCATGCAATACATAGCATAACTTAAACCTTGAAATAGCCCCTTCCTTGCTGAAACAGCTCTTCCTTACATAGGAGAGAAAGACACACAGGTACGTCCAGGTCAGAACGAGAAGACGTCCGCGGCCATGCCGATCGAATCGATGTTCAACCCCCTGAGCAGACAACACGCAGTGTTTGCTGGCTTAAGTAAAGTCCTGGCAGATAAGCAAGCCTTTTGCTTACGCGAATCCCAGGATGCCACGCGTGAGCTCCTGCGTGTCGGTGATGGCCTGAAGCTGGATTGTGAGCTCATGGAGTGAGAGAGCATGGACGTGGGTGAAGTCGAACCTGAACGAATCATATAGATAGATGGCATCCCTCATGCGCACGGAAGGCGTGGGCGGGTAATCGCCGTCTGCCTTGTGTCGCTCGCTTACCAGTGGGGCATCATCCAAACGATCCAGTCGCAGAAACCAATACGCAGGATGGCCGTGAGTAGCAGAGACAGCAGCATGAACATCAGCAGCGGCTGCAGGATGAATGTGTTCAGGAACTCAACTGCATGCCAATCATTCATGACGTATCCAGCAGGCAGGCAGGCAGGCAGGCAGGCATGTGTGTGTCATTTCAGCAACCTGAGCAGGCCATGACGAAATCTTGGTATACGACGTGAGGGGGTCGGGCGTCGTACTCTGCCAGACGCTCGCTAAAGGCGAACAGCAGCAGGAAGGCATCACACGCAAACCAGTAGATCAGCGCTATAGCGATGCCGATCCGCTCTCTCTTGCGCCATCGCGCCAACACGGCCTGCTTCATCTTCATCGGGAAATGACCTGGCAGCCGCCCAGGTAGGTAGGTAGGTAGGTAGGTAGGCAGGTAGGTAGGTAGGTAGGGAGGGAGACACAAGGGAGGGAGGGAGGAAGGAAGGACACGCAACGGAAGGAAGGAAGGAAGTGAGGAAAGATAGATGACTCTAAGATGAGTGAGTGAGTGAGTGTCTGGCTGCCTGCCTGCCTGCCTGCCACCAGCCGGCCGACCGGCGCTAGTTGGCATGAATGCGTGCGTACCTGAGTGTCGCCCAGTGATCTCGGCGATGCGATGGCCGCCGCCTCCCTTGAAGCCAGCGTACATGGCTGAGAGAAGGCACGAACAATTGACGCATGCAAGTCAAGTCACGTCACTTGGTGCATGGTGTCTTTTCTGGCTCGCTGGCCGTTGTGCAGGTATTCCCTTACCGCTTCGTGTCGGTGAGGGTTTGATGTGCGGCACCAGCTTGCGGAAGAGGAAAATCAGGAGGAGGGGCACTGGCTTGGAGAGAATGACAGACCAGATGAGCACGGCGATCTGACGCAGGGTGAGCTGCCAGGCTACGTCCTGCGTCTGGAACGACAGCAGCACGGTCTCAGCGCCCTCGCCAGTCACCTTCGTGCGGTCGAAGAAGACGGCACACCTGAAGGCAAAACATCACTGGTGTCTGTGGAGTCCCACACAGCTGCTGCTGCGTCTCTACGGCCACACATGGTGAGAATTCCAAGTGAGATGGACCCGAAAAAGAGAGTCCGCTGCACCGCCGTGTAGCTGAATTGAATTGATACATTGAAGCACAGAGAGACACAGACAGGGGCATCGTGAAGGCGATGCATTCATCGATCTATTTATCCATCCATCAATATAGATGACGTGGGGTTTAAGATGAAGAGCTTGAGCAATGGGTGGTCGCGTCTGCGTCGATCGAGACACCAGCACATAGAAATACATGGCCGCCGTCCAGACTGGATCCGTCAGTCAGTGCGTACCTGACTACCTCCCTGAACAGACGGGCAGGCCCCCACTCCACGTACTCGACCCGACGCAGCGTGCGAGTCACCATCAAGTCCACCTGCAGGAGGAATATTGACCGGCTCGGTCATAGTGACAGAGTGACAGGTCACAGACATATTCACCATTTATACCTCGGAATTCAGATCGACCCACAAGTCGGTCACGCTCTTGCGGCGGGATGCTGCCGTCGGCGTTTTGCCCTGCACTTTGTGAGTAGGTTTCTCTGCTTCGTCCACTGTGATCTTGACCTCTTTTTGCTGCTGCCTCTGCTGCTGCTGACTCGGGAGGTCGGCAATCGGAATGGTCTGGCCCTTGTGCAGTTTGGGTGAGAACTCTGAATCTTCGTCGTCGTCTCGGGCGTCTGCGTTGGTAGGCGAGCCCTCTGGGTCGACCATTGTGG